AGAGCATGTCCCTTTTGGCGCTCAGACACTCAATGCATCAACACCTTCACGCCGCCCGCTAAACATGTTAGGCACGCAGTTCATCATGCCCTCGCAGGTTGACCCCAAAGTACTGGCCGAGCTACCAGAGGACATTCGATCAAAACTGCTGCGCCAAACGCGTCAGTCTTCTCCTACACCTGCACGCAATGAAGACAAAAGAGGCAACCCTAGCACACCTACAAAAGCTTTGCCTTTCGCTATGACAGCACTCCCAGCCCAGTCTCAACTTGATCCCGATATACTTGCTACGCTACCAGCCGAAGTTCGTGCCGAGATACTTGCACAGTATGACGCCAGCATCACTCCCTTCTCTCCCTCTCGCCGTCCAAAGGGCGCGGACCAAACGATATTACCCCAATCGCCACGCAAGAATAGAATCATAGGTATCCCTGCCAAGAAAGCCATTGTACCTGTTAAGCGTGGTAGAGGCCGGCCACCAAGATCTGCAATGCTTGCTGCCGCTGCTCAAGCAAAGTCTATTAGCATGACTGGTAAGACCCTCACTCAAGCCAATTTCATCTCTCTCAAGAACCCCGCACGAGAAAGTGAGAGTAGAGAGAACTCCGCGGGCCCAAGCGATGATGCCTTTGAAGAGCCCACCGTACCCAAACCACCAAAGGAAGATGACCTTGACCCAGCCTTCCTCGCTGCGCTACCCGAAGACGTTCGCAAAGAGGTACTCGCACAACACAAAGCCGAGAAAATGAATGCTTTCCGTGTCTCTGTATCACGCAAGGCTAAACCTCCACCAGTAGTCGAACCGCCTACAGAACTACCCATGATCAAAGTCCCTCGCCCTGTAAAGCCGACCTTTACAACCGACAAACTCTCGGCGCTGGCGGACTTGAGGGTCGCCATGAAGCAATGGATTGGCGAGTTTACTGACGAAGGGCCGTATGGCGAAGATGTTGTTGCATTGATCAAGTACCTCAGAAAGGTCGTACTGGAAGAAAAGGACATCAGCAAGGCTGTTGGTATGGTGAAATGGATCGACTACGTCATTAATTACGAGGCGGAAAAGGACGAAAACTTTTCGAAAGAGCCATGGGAAACAGCTCTTGCGAAGATCAAGGACGGCGTCGTCAAGGCGGTGAAAGAGAGAGGTTTGGGCCGAGTGTCTTTTGACTAGTCTATGTATGTTTCACGACCTATCACGAATGAACGAGTCATGCCACGCTGCAGTATGTGCGCCAGGTTCGGGTGACACGATGATACCCGACACTTGGGTATCACCAAGAGAGAGTACATTCCACCCAACTTCCAAGGTGCATCATGCGGTCCATAGACATGGACAAAGGCAACTTTGCGCTAGCACCCGGCAATAGGTTCAGTCATGACCTATGACAGCAGACATATGACTAGGAATCACCCCCATCGTAACATGTCGTCAAGAAATCCTAGCTCTTCTTCCTGGGCTATAAAGCTACCTATACTGTTCCACTTTGTCTATTCTTCCGCATTTTCAAGCAGAAGATCGCTGAAACCTACCGATCAATCACACATCCACACCACGATACCAATAGTAGCCTCCAGCGGTACGTTAGCACCAGAAAGTGCCGGCCACGATGAGATTCTGGACCACACTTACGATAGCGGGATTCATGGGGGTAGTATCCACTACCGCGAATGACCTCACCCCATCAAGGGTCTCTACAGGCATTGCAGTGGCGGTGGCTCCCACTATCGTTACAAACCACGTTCCGAGATCGAAATTTCGCTATCGATCTGTCCAGTTCCTGCTTGAGAAGATAGATCAAAAACTAAACTGGATGTCCTTCGTCGGTCCTGGAGGCGAGGCAGTCGACCCCTGTGCGCCTACATCCTCCTCCGCGCCCTTCCAGGGCCTCCATCGATGGTGGCCGACAAACAAGCCTGAATTCACTGGGACCAAAGATGAGCAAATTCCCGACAGATACCTTGAAAGGATGCCGGAGGTGAGTCTTGCAACGCTATATGATACTGGGTGAAGCACCAGGCTGACAAACATATCCCTCTAAAGCCCGATGAAAGTCTTCCGATCACTATCAACGGTCAAGATAGCTGCTATTACTCGAGCGACGGCGCGCAAAAGACTTGGATCGAGTGTGACGACAAGCACTTTGACCACTGTGGATTCGATCCGCAGATCAAAGATCCGGAGATACGCTGTGATAACGGCCGTCGGTACCGTCGCGTGTTCTTTTGCGACTTTGATGAAGAGGTGCCGAAGTAATCATCCTAGCATTGGGCTGTCTGAAGAGAGTGGCTAGAGGCGCTGGGGGCAGCACTTGCCGGATCCAGGTCCTTCCAATTACACCCTTTTCGTTTATACCTGCTAGCATGACTGCCCGTTGTAGTACCAGCCGCATTTCTTCTTAGCCGTAGTTGATACTGTATAGGAACATGGAAACTGTGAGACATGGAAGAGCCCGCTATTCATTCAATCTTGGTGTTACTGTGATACCTAGGTACGTTACCTGACTTACCCAGGTAGGTGCTCTACGCAGTATCAGAACATGACGCAATAATCGCGCCACGTGCTGCTCGATCACATGATCACAGCGCTGTTTCACCGTTGACGTTCGCACTCACTGTTGGCAGGTCCCCGGTTGCTGCTTCCCCGTCTATACTTCCATCATACACGATCCTTAGTCATTCACCAATATAAGCTTGGGCGCTAATTTACTCGGCTCTCACCTTTGCCCGCACTTTCTTTCTGCTTTACAAAACCTGATCAAGCTACTGCCACTCAACCGCCCAACTTACACTCGTCATGTTGTCGTGGCTCCCTTTCCTCGTTTGGCTTGTCGCGTATCTGGTCGCGCCAGGTATCGCGGCACCTCTCGAGGTACCTAGCCCGCACGCACTCTCGAACAGTACATCAATGGCAACATATGATGGAGCAATCGTCAGTACTTCATTTCAGTGCTCGTCAACAAAGCAAGACTGACCTTAGTACAAGCATATCCGCGACCCCAGAAAACTGAACTCCATCCAAATTATCCTCAGGAAGCAATCTCGGCTCTCAGCAAGAACAGAATACTATTACCACTTCTATGAGGGCCCTTCTGGTATGGCCGCGCCACTCTGCAGCCTGGGATATGGCATGAAAGACTTCCACCCTGTCGAATCTATGGGTCCATACTACTACAAAGGCGACCCAATCAAGAAGCCCCCGTTTCCGCCGGAGGTGAGTCTGCAGAACACTGGCATGATCTGTGTCTTTTATCGATTCGTTATGAGCAGGTACTGACTTTACGCGGTATAGATGACTTTCCCTTTGGATCTCCCAGGCAAATATGTCGGCTGTCAATATACCTCAACAGGCGGCGATCCAGGCTGGCTTGACTGCGGCCCGGGTCGTGACATTCTGCATTTCGACCAAGATGAACGGTATTTAGAACCAGCCCAGGAATGCGACTGGAGAGAGAAGGCATGGGATCATCGCGGTTTCTTCGTGGATACTTAGGCTCGTCTATCAATAAGACGTTGTGCTCGAGGATGGCTGAGGCTGGAACATGCGCACAGCGCAGAGCGGAGATACTCTACATTGTGCGAAGGAATGCATGCATATGCCGCTCAGTCTCTCCTCCGTTTACTACAGTGCAATGTCTTCATACTTCCATACTACGTTTAGCATTACTAGTGAAAGACCCTGTGTTTGTTTACAACATTCCTTTGTCTCCCGCAAACGCTCGACCGCTGCTCTTCACAGCTCACCGCTTCTCTACCCCACTTTGAAGACTGATTACTTCAAGTCATCGACAAGCATTTAATCTACATCAAAGCTTCTCATCCAGCTCTCTTCCTCTAATCAGCGAAACACAAGACCCAGATCAACTTCCAATTCGCCATGCTCAACTGGCTTACTTCACTTGTCTGGCTACTTGCCTGCTTAAGCCTTGTATTAGCAGTGCCTGTCGACACGCCTGCCGGTAATGTCACATCTATAGCAAGGCGCAATACTGCGAACGTATGTTTATCAGCCCTTTTGACGCACTCCCGTAGCAATCTTGTAGCACTCTTGCTAATGAAGCTAACTAGGCATCTCCATATCCGTACTCCCTCCAGCTCATCCTAAGTAAATTCCCTGTTCGCCGATACAACTGGTTCATCTTCCAGGGACCCCAAGGAATCGCAGTGGATCCTTGCCTGGACCCTAAAGATGATCCGAACTTCGAGCGGGTCTACTTCGGAAGGGAACTCGCGGGCGAGGAGGACGACATTGCCCATCCGCCGTTTCCCCCTCTCAGTGTAAGTAGATTATTCTTAAACACTTTGCTGAGGATTGCATGCTAACTCGCACTCTCTTGTAGGTATACGCTGACATCGAGTATTCCGAAGACTGCCATTACATTGGTAGCGGCGTCGACGCTGGTCAGTTTCGATGCGGAGATTACTACATCATCGATTGTGCGAAAGACCCGCGCTACAACGAGGCAACCTTCAGATGTCCGGATGGTCGGGAATATCACCGCGGATATAACTGCGAGTTCTGAGGAGGCAGGCTAGATGGACCCGGGCTGATGGCAAGCGTATGTAAGGGTTAACCGTATGGTTCAAGTAGGCTTATCTAAGTGGTCATTTCACCCAACGTATGCACGTACGGTGAGGAATGCACTCGTCCTCAAGCAATATATTCGTCCTCAAGTGATGTGTTCGTCCTCAAGTAATGTATTTGTCCTCAAGCAATGCACTCGGCCTCAAGAAGTGTGAGCGTGAAGACAGGCCCGTGGGCGAATTCTGACGCGTTATTTACCCTCTGACCATATCTTAGCGACTGCCGTTTGCTTCATCTAAGACTAACTACAATTGGCTCCACACACGTGCTACTCTTGCGCGGTTGCCTACTTAACGCACTCACTTCTCACCACGAGCTTGTCGAGACATCGAGCCCCAACGCCAATTCAGAACATCGCGTCTCCGTTCATACACACTTCATCAACTCGACACACCCTGCCTACGAATCAATAGCAACTATGTCCTCCTTAGTCACCTACCTCGTGTGGCTCTTCGTCGGCCTCGGCTTCGTTCTTGCCGCACCCGCTGAGCAGTTTGCAGACCACCCCACTGCTGTAAGTGCGCGATGATGTTGAACGTCAAGCATCGTACTGACTAAGTTCAAGGGCCAGGGTCCGTATCCCTACTCCCTCCAGATCCAAGTCGAGGAGGTAGATACCAAGTACTACGTGTGGGACATCTTCCAAGGACCTAGCGGCGTAGCCGTGAACCCTTGTGGAGACACTCGCTTCGAGAAGGTCTATCATGGCGAGCCCGGATGGCACACCAACAAGCCAGACATGGACAGCCCTCCTTACCCTCAGAACTACTTGCCGTTCGTCCCCGAGGTGAGTTGGCTGCCATCTTTAGACGCTCACCGTACATGAACTAACTCACTTCTAGTTCGAGGTCCCGATCGAGTACGGCAACCGCGGTGACTGTGCCTACCACGCCACTGGTAAAGACGCGGGCCAGTTCCGTTGCGGCGACTACTACATAATCGACTGCGCCAAGGACCCTCGATATGGACAACAAGTTTCCTGCGGTAACCCACGTCCACGCTACGCTGTGGCCTGGTACTGCGAGTTCTAGAGGTTGGATAAAGAATCTGACGAAGAGCGACCGTGATGGTGGACAAGGCGCAGCTTGAGACATGACTACACGTCTCCTGCCTCCTATAGATATGGGAATACTGAGCCATTCTACGTAGAACCAATGAATGTATGAAGAACGCTCTCACTATCGCTCTCGGTCTCACTCTAATCACCCTGTACGTCAAAGCGCGAAGACCTGTCGCCTAACTTGGTCGTTTGCACGTCCCCTTCCGCCCGCCTTTTTGCCTGCCTTAATTTTGCCCACTAGAGCCGTCAGGTGCTCACTTCTTAGCCAAGAGATCATAGAATATATATGTAGCTCACAATGGCTCTCGCTCAGCCTCTATCCCTGACACAAAGCTTATCCTGAAGGCCTTGACAAAACGCACAATAACATCTCCCTCAACATGCTCGCGTGGCTCACCCTCCTCATGGGCCTTTCCATCAGTCTACTATTCGGCGCGACCACTGCAACATCTGCCCAGTTCTTGAGCCCCGAGGCGCAGGCTAATCGCACCGCACATGGTCTGGTACGTATGCATTATGTTCTGGGACGCGGTGCTCTACTGACCTTATGTTAGCAAGCTGATGTGTTCACCAATTCGGTTCAGATCATCCTTGAGCGTTACTCGATTGCGGACTTCTACTGGTCGTTGTATCTAGGTCCTTATGGTGTGAAGATGAATGCCTGCAAACCAGGAGACTTCAAGCTCGGCTCGCAGATAGGTGATTTCGACTACGATCGCAACGACATCGACAACCCCCCAAACCCACCCGCGGTAAGTGAATTCATCGATTGCAGCTTGGAAGTGCACATGAAACTGACCACAGCGTAGACGGAGCTACCTGTTCCCGAGTGGATGGGCCGCAAGGACTGCAACTGGAAGACCAACGGTCACGGTGATGTCGGTCAGTTCGTATGTGGCGACTGGATGATCTACGACTGTGAGCGAGATGCGAGTTGGAACGATGGAGCGATCTCATGTACCGGCCAAGGTTGGTCGTACCATCGGGGATACGCCTGCAATTTCTAGGCTGGGGTTCTTCGTGCGCTGCATAACTTGGCAAAAGAGTCTTTTGTCGCTTGAGTAATGTGGTGGACGGTCTTGGGATTGGGATCTATCTGTCGGCAACAGGGCAAGACACATGATTTCCTTTTAGAAGCCGGACAACTGGTTACCATCTTAGATACTTGGTGAATCGAATTGGATATCGCTTCCAGATACACATGCTTATATTCTACTCGCTTCAAGGTGCGCTAGTGGCCGAAAGAAAGCGCTTCCCTATTTGTTTGCTTGTATGGTCTCGGTGTGTGTTGTTCGTCTCTCGAGGGTGTCACTGCCTACGTGGCCACCAATCGGTTCACTTTCGCTTACAGTACATAAACTCGTCCCGCTGCTCGAGCCAACTCTCCTCTCCCTAACGGCTCTCAAAATCAAGAAGCAAGTAGCACGTTGACTTCTACGCCGTTAAACATGCGGACGCTCGCCACATTGCTTGTCAGCCCAGTCGCCATCTTCCTCGGCAAGACTTCTGCTACCCCCGTCAAGTACACCGGCGTACAGAGATCCGAAAATGGTACCAATTGGCGCCCCTCGGTGGGTATCCTGAGTACCAAGATCGACTTCATCGCTAAATACGAGGTAGGACTACTACGACTCCTCGGTTCAGATCCTTCTCCTCCGATCATCCGGTACAGAATACTACTGGCAAATGTACCAAGGCCCGGCCCTAGTATCCGTGGATCCCTGCGGCTACCCAGACCCCTTTAAGGTCGCGGATTTCAAAGGCGTGTATCATTACGGACGAGACGCGATTGACAACCCTCCGCAAGCTCCTGCTGTAGGTCATGATATCTCTTGCGCAAGCTTATGCCAGATCATAGAGATACGCTGTAACTAATAGCACATTCTTAGATGGATCTCAAGCTGTTGAAGTGGATGGACCATGATGATTGCGTGTGGAGAACGCAAGGTAACGGAGACGTTGGGCATGTAGTTTGTGGTGATTGGTTGGATATGCCCTGCGAGGTGGATGGGTCGTACAACCAAGGCGTGTTGAACTGCCATGGGAGGTCATTCCATCGTATGTACGCTTGTAGGTACTGAGCGCGGGTGAACGAGGTGCTGGTTGCAAGCGGGTCAACTTCGGGGTCGCGTCAGGGAAACTCGGGGGGCTGGTAGGCGCTTCTGATCGAGGCCCCACATTCCACAGCTTTGGGTACTCGCAGTATGCACATTGCGATGGCGTGTTTCGCATGATCAGATATCCTGTTCATTAACATTTTGATGCGCACCTGACTATCGCTTGCCAACCTTTGGATATTCCGAGGACACGCTTTTGGCCTCGCGGTTGGGGGAAGAAGAGATGTGAGCTGGAGCGTGCACGATCATTGATGACGACGTTTTCTAAGCCCGAAATGGTTAGCATTCATAGCCATCTTCGCGATGTGAGTTCAGTTTCGATACAGATTGGCTGTGCCATCGGCGCATTTCATTTCCAGCGCATTGAAGAGATCCGTGGCTTTGGCTATCCTCGCCTCAGTGATTGGCTTCTTCAGTCTCAATCTTCTCTTCTTCATCGACTTCTGAAACCAGTGTGTATCCCTGAGGTTCCTTCACAGCCGCAACGAATACAACGCTCCCCACGATCAACGCCGCACCAGCGAACTTCCACCATCCCGGCTCCAATCTCCATACAATCTTATCCGCGATCATAGCAAACACCACCTGCAGGTTTACTATGTGAAGCGCTCTCTTCGAATCGCCGGTCATCAAGCTCGCTGCCAGGAGCCAATGCATAGCGAACCCCAAGATGCCCAGCACGCACACGAACAGCCATCCTACGGCGGTAGATGGGAAGCTCAAGCCTTTTTGCTGTATGATGAGCGATGCGCCGCTGAGTAGCGTACATATGGGCGCAAAGTATGCAACCGTTGTCATTGGGTGTACGTGCTCTCCTAGGCACGACATAGTCAAAAACGAGACTGCGCCGCCGAGTACACCAATAAGTGCCGCACCAACGGCCAGCGCGTGTTCTCTAGGCGTATTCGTTATATGAGCGCTCCAAGGCTGCAATACGCAGAGTAAGCCCATGACCGCAATTAGAGCTGCGAGAATTTGAGCGACAGAGCAGCGCTGCTGACCTGGTAATAAGCCGAGGAGAAGGGTAGCGAGAATTGGCGCGAGGAAGTTGATCAGAGTCGCCTCAGCTAATGCGAGATAGCGCAGAGAGACGTAGAAGCCCCAGATACCGAAGAAGCCCGCAACGCCTCTTACGATGAGTAGAGGGCGCAGCTTGGAAGGACCAAATGTACCACCAGGAAGAGCTGCCGGGGACAGTAATATGTACGTCCACGACAGAATGGTGATTATCGACATCATTACAATGAGTATCTGGAGAACATTAGTATTTGCGTAGGTGGGCGGGTAGCATGTTCGCATACCTCGGAAGTACCAACTGTTGTGGTGCCTGAGCCGCCGCTGCGCTGCGTTCCCAGGATGCGTCCCAATGTCGCCAGGATAGTGGAGCATACTTGCGCCAAGAGCATAAAACTCATACCGGCATTATTATGAAGGATAAGATCCGCGCTGCTCGCAACACCATAGATTGTATTTGTTATTGATGTAGCTGAAATCATGGTGTTATGATGGGGAAGGTGTACGGAAAGCTCTCCGATGGAAGACGAGCTCGGGATGCAGGAATGTGAGACTTTACGTGTATTTGAAGTGTTTCACGCCTCCTTTCAGCACAACCTTCCCAAATGCGCAGCGGAACAATTCCTGTATTCTTTACCCTTGGTCGCGTTAATTGAAGAAGGAAATATGTGCCCTGAAACTCAACAATGCGGCTTTGGTGCGTTCTGCCGCACGTGCATCAACAAATTGCGGTTTGCGCAAAGGCTGCATCATGATGTTTTTGTCAACAGACTCAACAGGAGGCCATTCCATCTGCTTCGCACGCGGTTGATGATGAAGTTGAGCTTGTCATTTACTACCTCGTTAGCAAAGACGAGGGACCGAAATGTATATCCACCCCGCTGACAGTAACAGGACCCCAGCCATCTTTGCGGCATCAAGCAGGATTCCTACATGCGCCAAAAGGTTATCGCTAAAAGTGTGCGGCACTCACTATGGCTGTGAATCTTCGCCAGTGACTCCTCATACCTTCTTTTATCCTTGACCTCGACCCCGACCTTGAGCAGAGTGCGCACTATCTTCCCATGCCTCCTTCGTGATTCGCCAGATCCACTCATTCCCGAACATCTTTTCGTCTATTCTCTCAGCCTGAAACCTGAGCTTGTTGTTCATCAACCCCTTGAACGCAGTATTAGCATCTACACATGCTATGTGGATCTCGTCCATGCCCAGGACAGCAAAACCATGATCAATGACCATACACAGCGACTCATAGCCGTAGCCAGAACTACGAAAGTCTGTGTCCAACATCAAGCCTGCGTCACCTATCAGCTTGCCATCGGCTTTTCTCCTTCCAATCCAGCCCAAGCCGCCCGTACCGACAGTCTTGCCGTCTACCACAACAACGATGTTGGCGCGTTGTAATGGTAGATCTACAACCTGCCACTGCTTAATCAGATTAGCAATGGCATCCGCGCTATCTAACCCGGCGCATGACTTGTCGTACTGGACATTGCGATAGTCGGTGAAAAGCCGTAGGAGTACAGCAGCATCATCCATGTGCGGAAGACGAAGATATAATTGGGGAAACATGAGCGAAGTGATACGCAGGCTGCTAGCGTCGTTCGGTCTTAGGTTCGTTGAGTGAGTGTAGAAGGTGGCACTCCCCGTAGCGGTAGGCGCTGAGTGTTCGGAGGAAGTAGTCATCGTGTATTCTGGAAGATGAGGTGAAATGTAGAGAATTCGGGGTCCCTAAATCAGATCCGGAATGCGAATGACTGCGTTGATGTTGTGGTGCTCAACGGACCACTCCAGGTGTGTTGCCTACGCCCGGAGCTAGCCTATTTTCCGATCTCTGCCGACATTTGGAACAACCTCATCATCATTGGCTTCAAGAAAAGGTTCGGGAATTGGCATACACAGAACATAAGAGAAGCTCTTTCCAGTGAGCTCAAAGACTTGTTGTGAGGACGAAGATTCAGATGGTAACTTCCTGGTTTCGAGATTCAGCGACACTAGCGGCTTGGCAGAGCTGTCAGAGGTACCTAGGTACAGCCCAGCGATGCCTGGGCGCAGTCAGTCTCTTCGTACCGTGGACCTCTCTCGAACGATGCTTCCACAATCACTCAGCTTGCCTACAACGATGCCATGCCGAATTCCCAGCTGCTCCGCTTACTTGTCAGGTGCTGTCCCGCGATAGCCGGATGGCTGCTAGAGACCAACAACTACCAAATCCGTGTGTGCTTCACTTTGATGCGTACTCCTAGCCTCCAAGCCTACGCATACTCAATAGCTAAAGGCGTTGACATACGTACGCGTTTCATCGTGCAGCACGCCAACATAAGCACTTAGCTGCATTAGCTGAAGGCGCAGTCGGCGAAACCTCCGCTAGGCGCGATTGGCATCATGTCAGGCGTCCACCAGTCTGCCCTGGCAGTAGCAGCCACCTTAACCATGACATCTCTCGAAATCGTCAAACCCCAAGATTCCATTTCAATCTCGAGATCCTAGATCACCAACACGTGTTTCTTTCCTCAGCCACTTCCTCCTCATCGATGCTTTCAGTCAATCCCATATGACGCTCTCTTCCCCTCTTAACCACAGTCGTCACGCTACTGCGCTCCTCACCAACGACCACACACCATGAGCGAAAGCAGGCGCAGTTCCATATCCAGCGTATGGTCTGACGACAACCAAGCCCCGTGTTCTCGGTATTCCCTTCCAAGAGCCTCTTCTCGGTTCTGGAAATACGCCACATTGCTTGTTCTGGGTTTCGGCGCCATCATCCTCTTCTCGACAAAAACAACGGTCTCGAGCAAAATTCTACCAACACATGTTCCGCATCTTGGTTCCATTCCTGCATCGTCTGCACCCGCGTTGTCATTACAGTCTTCCCCTCGCATTGGCAAAGTAACGGCCTCATTCGGGCCGGAAGATCCCGTCTATGAAGCCGCCATCGCTTCTCACCAGGTCCACAATGACCTCCACGGGTACCCCGAGTTCATACTCCGCGAACGCATGCTACCTGGTCTTTGGTCTAAACACGCCTTCTTGCTCGCGATTCTTGGAGCTGAACTTGCCAAGCCAGCTGCGGAACGACTGGAGTGGCTTTTTTGGCATGACCGCGACACGATCCTGATGAATCCTAATGTTCCGTTGCAAGTCTTCTTACCACGGAACAAGGACATTAATCTGGTGGTGACGAATGATCGGCATGGTCTTAACAACGGCGTCTTCCTTATCAGAGTAAACGAGTGGGCGATACGACTCTTCTCGGCTGCATTAAGCCTGAAGGAGTATAATCCAGATATACAGTTAAAGTATAGTGAGCAAAGTGCTATGGAAGAAACTATCAGACGTGTAGGTGGAAGGCTCATTCACGTTTTACTTATTGCATCAACTAATCATCTTGCGACTCACAGCCATACTTCTCTTCCGCCGTTGCCTACGTGCCCCAACGGTGGTTCAATGGCTTCCCACCCAATCCAGACAAGCCTAGCAAACCATCATTAGCTCGTCCTGCATCTCTGCTCATTCACTTCGCTTCGAATCGAGACGGGAAGCGTCCGGAGAGGATGGCTTACTGGGGCGGTATAGCACGGAATAAGGCGAGTGAGTGGACGAGACCGTTCAATGAGACGGGCTACCCGGCTGAGATAGAAGAGTTTTGGGCAAGAGTGGGTAAGGAAGAGGATGTTGAGACTTTATGCAGGGACATTGGAGGCAGGGTCTGGAGTTGACGATCTTTTCAGCGTTAGTGCTGTGGTTGTAAACTTCGACATGAGTAGATCGATAAGCCTTCTGACTCGAACGAACATCAATAAAACAACAGGGTATAGCCTCCCCCTTCCCATACCGTTCTCCTGAACGCCTAATCAACGCCATCGCCAACTCCTACTTGACACTCATTTCCAAGCCCCCATCTCTCCCCTCGTTGACACGCATAATACTGCTCCGCATAGCCGACCTCGTGTTCTCCTTATCACTATCCCCACCTCTCTCCAGTCTCTCCCAAAGACCCCCATTGCCTGGCGGCCCCGAACCGAGACTCTCCCTAACATCGACCGCAGAGTCTATTATACCTAGACCCTGCACCCGCGACCCCAGGTCTTCGATAACATCATGGTGTCTCGCCTTCTTAGCTTTGTACAGCGTCTGCTCCACAGAGCCAGGGAGATAGATGCGCTTAGCGCCTAAAGTACGCTTGATATCTTCAAGAAGAACTTCCATGGGACAGATGTAAGCGATCTTGTTCTTTTGGCAAAATGCAAGCACGTGGCCAACGACTTTGTGGTGACCGTTCTGTACGACCCAGGCTCCGCTGTCGCCGCCGATGCCGAAGCCGCCAGCGACGTGCCAGGAGCGAGAGAAGGATTTGCGGTGGTAGATACGGACAGCGGACATGACGCTGCTGACCATGCCCGGTTGGAGGCCAGTGGTGCGGCCGAAGCAGTGTACGGACATGCCACCGAGGGTGGACGCGGGGGCTACGCCGTTGGGGTATTCGTCCTCTTCGGGAGTGTAATTGCGGCGATTGACTGGCTTCTCCAGCTTGGAGGCTATGGCGCGTTGTTCTGGTGTCATACTACCTAAGCAGAAGCGGCGACCTCCTTGGCAAATGTTATATGGTTGGAGGCGGTCTTCCCTGAGCTTGAGGAGTGCCCAGTCGATTTCGTGGAGGATGCCGTCGCGCTTCCACCGGCGGATGCCGGAGGAGGCATGAACGTGGCCTAGTTCGTGCGAGGAGAGATGGTCGTCGTCGCGATCTTCTTCGCAGGGGAAGAAGTCAGCGCCTACGTCATCAATGGCTGGTTGTGTGATCTTTATCTCCTCGCCTTCCCCTGGCGCAATGCCGTCAATGTCGCCCATGGTTGCGTGTGAGATATGTGAATCTGCCATGTCTGAGACGGGGTTAGCGTTTGTGACATGTGTGAAGTGTCGGATCGACATACCCGCAGAGTCGTCATCAGACTCAAGCTCACTGTCGGAGAAGTCGAATGAATCAAGGTCGGCGTCATCATCCTGGCTCTGTATGTCCTCATCGTCTGAAAGTTCGAGATCCCACATGCCAGCGGGCTCATCCGACTCTAGATGAAGATCTGGTTGCGCACCCATTCCCATCAACCAAGGATTGTTCGCTGCGCTGGACAGCATCACATCGCTCGGATGAGGGCTTTCGGGCTCTTCGCCAACGTCATCTTCATCTTCGGATGGCGCGTCGAGGAGATGATGAACGCTCATACCAAGCGGCTCATCGTCAACCAAGATGACTCCGCCATAAGACACTGGAGGCAGGTGTTCACCGTTGAAGGCTCCAATGGAAGCCCCGCATAATGGACGATCCTGATGGTAAGGGTTCATCACAGCCATGTCCGCATCGTAAGAGTCGGTGTTCATCATGGATCGATGGGGTGGCCTAGTGCGGCGCGATGAACGGCTCATCTTGGACCGCCTGATCTTTCCCCTCCGGACCTTGAGGTCATATATGTTCTCGTCGAAGCGGAAGCGACGGCTGAGAATGGCCTTGACCTTTGCCACACTAGTACACGTAACAAACACAGTAGGCTTGGCTTTCTCTAGTACTTCTCCGATCGCGACGAGATCAATGCTGACGGTCTCTTCGGAATCCTTGAGCGCTCGTTCTATTAGACGTTCAAGGCGGGGCAACATGGATGAGTGCCACTCTTCCACGATTTCAGGTGTGAATTTGACTGGGAAGAGACGAAACTTCGGTCGAGGAGTCGGCTCTATATCGGTCTCGATCTGTATAGACGAAGTGACGTAGCTCTCACTCGAATTTACCGTCCGACTCTGAATCTCTGGCTCAGGTGTTGGGTAACCAAGCGTAGCTTGCGGCCAGTGTCGTAGTCCGTCACTGACGAGGGCCGAGACGGTGTTATTACTGCGTTTCTGCTTTGTCTGGCGCCAAGCCTTTTGGATGACGGTAATCTTGTCTTTATAGTCTTGAAGCGTTGCGCATCCATTGGAAGGGGCGCGAGACTGCCGCCATGCACGCTGAATCGTTGAAGCGGCAGTCGCTACGCGCTCTCTGTACAGCGAAGAGTTATCGCTTGGGTCTTGCGAATTTGGTGGGGTTGCGACGAGTGTGCCTGATTCTTCTAGAGGATCTTTCTGTTCCCACTCCATCTCCGGTGCTTCTTCTTTAGGGCTCATCATGCGAAGACTTTCTGAGATGCTCTTCCGGATGGAGTGTTGCGAGCTCCGTGATGGATTACGAGCCAATGAAAGATCTGGTGACTTTTTAGACAGAGACTTGGTCCTTTCCAAGGCCTGTGTACCCTTCTCTAATGCCCATCGCTTTGCGCTCCTATAGGACGGACTTGACTGGCCATCGGTGACGATCTGTGGCTGGCTCGCGCTCTTGCGTTTCAACGGAGATGCTTGCTGCACCGGTGTAGCGCCCGGTCTCAGTTCGCTCAAGTCAAACCCGGGCTCCGACTCATCCAGCATGCAGCAGCGTTGCAGTCTGGTTAGGATGCGAGTGTAGACCTGCGGGACATCGATCGCATTGTCGCCCTTGACATCAGCTGCCCAGAAACAGTCGCGCACAACCTGCATGTAGGCTGTTCCGCATTTGGAAGCGAGCCTACGGATGTATACATCTTCTATCCGTTGCTTGAAGTCGCTCAGGGTGTACTTTGGCTTCCACAGGTCAAGTAGAGGCTGCCACAATCCTATCTCGAGTA